AAATGTTGTGCCACACATTATTGTTTTCTTTGCTACTTAATTTTTAATTCACCGCAAACAAAGGGACTCCCAGAGTTTCTAGCATAGTCCAGTATTCTGAGGGTGTTATGGGCTTAGGGTTAGGGTCAGATTAATGGTTGGAATTAGGGTCAGTTGGGGTCTCTGAGGTGGTCAAGGCTGACAAAGATCCTAACCCCAACCCATAATACTTTTAGAATATTAGACTTCCCCGGCAACTCTGGGATTTCCGTTGTTTGCAGTGAATTAAAAGTAAAGTACCATTTTGTTTGTTTGTCACTGACCATACCAACAACCACAATGTGCACATATACTTTTGGCAGCTGATTGGTCTGATTTGTGTGTGTGTGTGTGTGTTAAAAAAAAAAAAATTTGGAATTTCTGTAATGATTAATTAAAGGGATGATTCTTGTGTTGTCTAACAGTATGACTTCCTGTTATTTTCTCTTGTAGATTTTGTTTTGTGTATGTCTGTGTTACTTGCAAGTAATGTGTTTTCACACTGGTATCACAGAATTTTGGAGATTCAGGTTCAAATCTTGAGTAAGATCATTAAAATTAGTTCCCTGTGTGGGTTCCGAACCCTAGTGTGGGGAAAACAAGAATAGACCCACTGCCTACCCAACAAGCATGCTGTAGGAATTCACTTACTAGGAGCTTCCTTCGAAACTCGGAGTGCATCTGCCTGGGAGGTAAGGAACCAACAGTTTGCACACTGATATATCAGATCTGCATACAACACTCAGGTTCTGGAACAAGACTTAAGTTCAGAGGTGGACAAACAACCAGAACTTTCCCCTGGAGTTTACAGCCGATGAACGCAAAGAAAAAAAAAGATGACAATTAAAATTGGTTTTCTGTTGAGGGAGAGGGAGCTAAAATCAAAAATCCTTACAGGCACTGTGGTGATTGCTCTAGCTCCTGATTCCACCTCCCCCCCACACCTTCTGCCATCATTACATTTTTTAAAACACTGTTGTCTCCACAGTGAAGGTTGAGTGCTGTGTACCCACTGCTGTCTTTCGGAATATTTAATGGTAAGGCTCCCATCTCTACCCTAACTAAACAAGAAACTTTAGGATGGCAGCATTAGTTTGATTTCCATTTCCAGTAGCCACAACCATATTAAACATTCTGCTAGCCAGACAGAAATGTGATTTCTCTGGAGAGACGTTGGTTAAGTGATTTCACGTATTCCTGTTTATAGCTGTGGTATTATATATTTATGTAATGTGCTGATGAAGGCTTTGTAGCCAAAACGTTCACTTGTTGTGTTTATGATGTTGTAAAATCTGGTTTGATATCTTGTCATGGCATTTGATTTCCAGGTAACATGCAAAGAATAACTTGGACAGACAGACAGACAAATGTTTGTATGCGAATGTGCATGTTTTTTGGCATCTTTTTACGGCTGGATTGAGCTGAGTTGAGTTAGAAACCAGCATTACAGCGCTTGAGACATTGCCATAAGTGCTTGGTACCCATCTTCAGCAGGCAGTACAGAGTTCCAGTGGTGATGTTACCATTAGAGTTGATACAGTGTCCACTTACTTGCCTTCCCTCTGCATACAGTGCAGACCTAATAATGAGAACTCACTGGGGACCCAAGAAATTTGTCTTCTTATCAGAAATACCTCTTATTCAGATAAGAGTTGAAGCAAAAAAAAATTTGTTAGGGATAATTAAGATGTTCTTCACAACAAAAATTTGCCACATCCGAGTTTACCTTGAGCAGTCTACACTGTAGGTCTCAACCATATCCTCAGATCACTCACTGCTGTGCCATTCTCTTCAGACCTGTTTGTCCTTACGCACTGCAATGGAACTTGGGAATCAAAGTCATTGTTTTCTCTAAATCTGCACTGTGCTGTATGGAACCTAAGTAAATGTTAAGAACTCTTCTACTCGCCTTTATGCAAATTGGGCATATAGGGCTAGACCTATATTATATATACCAATAAGTACTCGGTGGGTGATGTGGTCAGAATCTCGCCATCCGCCTTTACTTCCCAGGACTAGTACCCACTCAAGGCTGGGTCGACCCGGGAGCCAAGGTCATTTTTGAAAAAAGGTCAGGCTCCGTAAGGACCTGAACCCACGACCTTCCGATCCGCAGGGTGAGCATCTAGCTGCTAGATCATGGTGGCTCACATGGAACCTAAAACCTGTGGTTAAATAAGTATATTTATTTATTTTTAATTGACCCATGCACAATGAAATGCTAAATTCAGGCTATATCTTTAATTAGATTTAAGTTTATTTTTTTAATCACAATAGATCAAGAAAATATTGTCAGAAAGCTTTCTTTTTTCAAAAAAAAAAAAAGGATAATTTGATTTGCAAAAGGATCATTTGATTTGCAAAAGGGTAAATTTGATTTGCAGAAGGATGAATTTGATTTGCAAAAGTGATAATTTGGCGTGCCAGTCCTGTATTAAAAAAAAATAAAATAAGGATGAAAGCTTTTTGAAACCTGACAAATGTCACGATGAAGGTGAAGAGGAGGACAAAGGGATGGCTTGGATTTGTGGCAAGATGATGACAAAACATGTTGTTCGGAAACCAGGGAACATCTGAAATGGAGAGATGTAATTGCTCACGTTTTTGTCTCGCCATGGCACATGATGATGATGGTTAAGATCATGATCACTGACTGAAACAAGGCACATAAACAAGATTGACTGCTGATTATCTGGGCGGTGAGCTACTTTATGGTAAAGAGAACATGATGAAGGATCTCTGTGATCAAAAGGACATGCAGGGCTGGATTAAGGCTAGATGGGGCCTTAAGCTGGATAAAGTCCTGAGGCCCCTACTGCTTCAAAATACACAAGTCAATTTCCATAAGTTAAAAAAAAGCCTCAGATAATATACCCGAAATAAAATTAATAAAATTAGAACATTTCTTGGGGAAACAATTTAAAATATATGAACAGAAAATTTCATTGACAATATATCAACTTTTCAATCGCAAACAACGCGCAATATGTACTTAATATTACCCAAGTGTACCAGTCGACATGTTTTGTATGTTGATCTTAAGTTTTTAGTCAGCCAAACGGAATCACCCCAACAACACAAGTCTCCCACCGTGTGCTGTGTGTTTGGACCCCGTGGGTGTTGTATACCCACGCTTTTGTGATCAACATTATTGCTTAAGTCAGGCAACAGCCGTGATCTTCAGGAACTTAAAGATTTCATATAAAATTGCATTTGTGAAAAAAATAATTGTGTAAGCTTCTGCAGATTGTGGGGCCCTATGCCGGAGCTGATTTAGTTTATATCTAAATCCAGGGCTATCTTCCGAATAACGGTCCCAAATTATCAAGGACGAAAATATAACCCTAACAGGGCCTCAGTCACATGCCAATTACGGACTACCGCCATCACCGAGAGTATCTCCCAGCGGGGCGGGGCAGGGCTAAACTAGATGGCTGGGACTCACGAGCAAATAAAATGAAAGAAGATGCGGTAGCTGTTGCTCGTGAGTCCCAGCCATTTAGGTTAGCCCCACTCCACGCTGCTCATAGCGGCGTGGGAGATACTCTCGGCGGTGGCGGTAGCCGCCGGAAGTGGGCAATTTACATGTGACTGAGGCCCTTTTAGGGTATATTTTCGGTCTCGAAAATTTGGGACCGTTATTCAAAGGATAGCCAAATCCAGCGCTGTGATATTGCAACAGGAGTATCCACTCCTTGAAAGACTGATTCGGCGGCGATAAGGCTTTAATGAAATTAAATAATACAAATAGTAATGCGATTTTTCCTAATGGTATATCACTCCGAGACGTGGATGGTGTACATCCATTTGGACAGTAATGTAGATAAAGATGGGGGAACTGATATAAATATTAAAATACGAATACGAAAGGCAAGAAGGGCTTTCATAGAACTAGGGCAATTTGTTGGGGGTCACAAAAAATGAAAACCACTTTAAAACTAAAACAAAATTTAATTTCGATGGTCAAATCAGTACTGTTGTATGGAGCGGAAAATGGAGAACTAAGGCAATAATAATAAACTACAAAAATTAGCTGGTGCCTATGCAGAATAAAGGGAATTAAATGGTATGACAGAATCAATAATGGACCTTTGGGCGAAAGCTAAACAAGTTCCAGTGGACCAGAGGTGAAGAAAAAACTCTGGCATTGGAAAGGACAAACATTGAAATAGTAAAGACATGAAGATAGCTGCATGAGTTGCTCGAGGGCGTATGCTCCATTGTGGGGTTTGAAAGGCAGAAAAAGGCGGCAGGGCTCTGATCAATATTTAACGCTGAGGGAAAAACATAGACTTATAAACAGTGTCTAGTTGGGACTGTTAGCAAAATATTGACTACAGCAGGAGGAATTAGAACCCTCGCTCATCGATTTAAACAAAATTAAAAACAATATAAACAAAGTAAAAGTAACGTTGATCTCCCCACGCCTCGCCCATATACACACTAGCTCCCTTCTGATTGGTAGTTCCTGAACCTGTCACCTTGGTACAAGGTTACAGGGGGGGGGGAGTGTTCCGCGATGCCGTTGATATTACGTGTTGTATATTTCAGCACGCCAGCGCTTTTAACACTCCAAAAACATGGAGAAACTGTTCCTAACACAACTTCACTATAGAGTGCTGCAACCTTTGTCACAGGCATTCTCTTTCTCGGAAAAAAACATAAATAAAAACATCACAGAAAGCAAATAACAGAGCGGGAAAGACCCGTAACCTTCAGAGAAATCGACCAGCCCAACAAACCTGTGAATGAAAAGTGACCTACTCTATTAGAGTAGATTAACGTGAACCTAACCTAAACAAGAATAATCTAGAAATTATTCTACTGATCGCAGTTTAAAACTTCACAGTTAATGGAGCACCCCCATAGATAGTTGCTTCGTTCTTGTGTCAACGAAAACCATACAGAAAGTCTATCACTGTCTCCTGTGAACAAAATTGATAATGATACAGACTACAACATTTCAAATGAAATCTGCGAAATTAATGAAATAGGGCATGTGCAATGAAAACGATACTAATAACCCAAGCTATGAGAAGCGCAGTGTGGGCGATTGGTCGGGCAGATGTGTCCTTATCCTGCAGCAAGGGGGATAATGACAACATTTTGTCGTTGCAGTAGTGTTGTCCCTCGCACGAGTAGTAGCAGACGTGTTTGAAGTCGGTAACCACGCAGCCATCCTTTTGTGTAGTTTCGGCGCAGCCTCGGTAAATAAACGTTGGGTCTCCTGTCACTGGAGACAAACAATAATGGTTAAAGGTACATATTTACACACACACACACACTCTCTCTCTCTCTGCCTGTGTGTCGCTCCCTGTCTCCTTCTGGCTTTCTCTCTGTCTGACACACAAAAACACAAACAATATATATATATATATATATATATATATATATATATATATATATATATATATATATATATATATATATATATATAGTAAAAAGAGTGGCAAAGAGATAAATATACAGACAGACAGACAGGCAAATAGATAGATAGATAGACAGACAGACAAATAGATAGATAGACAGGACGGGCGGGCGGACAGACAGGACGGGCGGACGGACAGACAGGACAGACAGACGGACACAGAGAGAGAGAGGACGGAGAGACAGATAGATAGATAGATAGATAGATAGATAGATAGATAGATAGATAGATAGATAGATAGATAGATAGATAGATAGATAGATAGATAGATAGATAGATAGATAGATTAGATAGATAGATAGATAGATAGATAGATAGATAGATAGATAGATAGATAGATAGATAGATAGATAGATAGATAGATAGATAGATAGATAGATAGATAGATAGAGATAGATAGATAGATAGATAGATAGATAGATAGATAGATAGATAGAGATAGATAGATAGATAGATAGATAGATAGATAGATAGATAGATAGATAGATAGATAGATAGATAGATAGATAGATAGATAGATATAAGATAGAGACGGACATACCTTTATCAAATTCGGCCGATGTGATGCACTTATACAGACACCGGATTCGGGGATCTCCGCCTGTCCAGTTGCCAGGATCGTTGGCACATTCATCCTTGCCATTGCCATTCTGGACAAACTGGCAGGTCCAACACATCTGTCTGCTATCTGTGGATACAAATTGTATGTAGGATGGGCACCTTTTTTCACGATCAGCGTTATTTGATTGTTTGCGTGTGTTAGGGTTGCCACACGCCCGCCATTTTGCGGACACCTCCTCACTCATATAAGCATATATGAACGTCCGCAAAATGGCGGACACATGGCAACCCTATTGTGTGTTTTTGTGTATGTGGGGATTTGAACAAAGAAGACACAAACAATAGACTGCACAATTTATTGCCTGGCATATTTCGCTGTATCTCGTCAGGTGCATACTACAGTAACAAGTGAATAAATGAAGCAAATAGCTGAATCCTAGAAACTGAAACACAAATTCGAGTACATTCTACACTGTCTGTTTCACCAAGGTAACCTTAAGGAAACTACCATTTCTTTCTGCCTACAGAGATCCGGTTTTAACCGGTTGATCGCGGAAGCTTCCGCGTATCTGAGTAATCTACGGTTGGCCGAATTGTAAATAATTCGAAATGCATCATCCCTGTTAATGATGTGCCCGGAATTTAGAATATGGCACGCAATTGCTGATGATGGATTTTGTCGACCAGTCACCTGATTCGTTGTTGTTGAGGTGTTAGTGTTTTGCATTGCTTTTACCACCCATAGTGGAATATGTTCAGCAACCCGTTGCTCCAGTCGTCGATCAGTTCTGTCCACATATGCAGCGTTACAGGTGCATTTAAATTGGTATATACAGTTAGATCTGGCGTACGTCGAGACTGGTTCTTTTACAGGTGGCGTAGGAATCGTGGTGGTTTTGAATCTCATAACAGGCATGGCTGCGTAAAAAGTTTGACCGACTGCTGTTTTGACTGCTATTTGCTTCATTTATTCACTTGTTACTGTAGTATGCACCTGACGAGATACAGCGAAATATGCCAGGCAATAAATTGTGCAGTCTATTGTTTGTGTCTTCTTTGTTCAGATTCACATCGGGGAAACATTGCTTTGATTATGTGGAGATTGCCTGTGGTTTAGTACACGCCCATGCAGATATCAGAAACGTCTCGAAACGAAATATTTAAACGTATGTTTACACAGACACACAAACACACACAGAGTAGAGCTGAATTACGCAAAGGCGATATAGTCATAATTGCACTGACTTGTCCCCCCTTCCTCCGTTTCCCCGGATACTTCCTAGGACATTACTTGGTACCAACACGCAAGGGAAGAAGCAATGACAAAGCAGATATTACCTTTAAGGACTATGTTAGTGGATAATGACGAATCTCTAACACTAACGCCATTACGAGACCCTGGAAGGAAGCATTCTAAAGCACGTCTATAACGGCCTGTGAGGCCGTTAACTCATTCATTCCCAAGCAACTCGCCACGCGTTTCTGGAGCTCTCGTATATTTATATACTATTCTTAACTGTTTGATCGCCCATCCAGTAATTAACTTACTTTTCCTCAGTTGTCACTTTATATAATTCTTTCTCATGGTGTTTCAGGATGCTTTTATCCTTCTGTCTCATGGTATTTCGTGGCGCTCATATCCTTCTTTCTCATGGTGTTTCGTGGTGCGTATATCGTTCTTTCTTATGGTGTTTCTTGGTTTTCATATTCTTCTGTATCATGGTGTTTCGTGGTGTTTATATCATTCTCGTATATTATATACTATTCTGAACTTTTTGATCACCCCTCCAGTAATTAACTTACTTTACCTCAATTGTCAATTAATATAATTCTTTCTTATTGTGTTTCGTGGTGCTTATATCCTTCTTTCTCACGGTGTTTCTTGATTTTCATATTCTTCTTTATCATGGTGTTTCGTGGTACCTATATCCTTGTTTCTCACGTTGTTTCTTGGTTTTCATCTTCTTCTGTATCATGGTGTTTCGTGGTGTTTATGTCATTCTTTCTCATGGTATTTCTAGGCGCTTATATCCTTCTTTCTCATGGTGTTTCGTGGTGTTTATATCCTTCTTTATCATGGCATGCTTTTTCTTTTATCCGCTCCAGACTCAAACATTTATTAGTTAAAATAACACATTTTTATGGTATATTCCGATTATGTAGCATCTGATCTGGGACTCAGAGAGTTAAGGAGACATTATAACCAGTTTCTCATGAGAGCAGTCAGTAGATGTACATTGGAGCGGCTGCTGCCTCAAAGATGATGAGTGGGAGTGACCACTGGGCAGTGTCGTCGACTGTGATGTCATCAACCTAACTGGTACCCATGTTAGGCTGGGTCGATCTGAATGCCAGGGTCAGTTTTGACAAATAAACCCGCTTTGATGTGGATTCGAACCTAAGACTTTTGTTGCGCCGGCAAGCAATAACTAGCAACCACGCCACCGCGACTTCCAATATCAGTAGGTAGGCAAACATAGATGGGTAGCCGTACGTACGAATATATATATATATATATATATATATATATATATATATATATATATATATATATATATATATATGTGTGTGTGTGTGTGTGTGTGTATGTGTGTGTGTGTTTGTGTGTGTGTGTGTGTAGACAGCTGAGTTACAGTATACAGACATGAAGGTAGCCAATCAGAAGTTTCGTTTTATTACTGCTGCTGGAAAGAATGACACCCAGTGACTCAAAAACCCGCAATCAGTTTGCAAATAAAAAAAGAGCAAATTCAAGAAACAATGTTCAGTCGCACATAACAGTTATGAAGGGGCTTCAAATGAAACCTTAAAATTCTTATATAAATTACAGTAATCATGCCAAGAAAGAGACAAACACAGCTCTTTGGCCACATAATGAGAAGAGAGACACCGGAGAACATTGTGACATCTGGAAAGATCAGTGGAAAGAGGGGTAGAGGCAGACCAAGAGAGAAGATGCTGGATGGGTTAAAACGATGACTTGAAGGGATATCATCAAGAGAGCTGTTCCAGGCAACGAGGGATAGTGATTTCTGGAGACGCATGAGAGCCTACGCCGGTTGGCAGGGCACATGATGATGATGAAACATGTCATTGTCTTGTAACCCGTCAAAATTGTTGTTGAAAGCTGTTGCTTCGTAATAGATAGTACCATAAGTAGGATTTGGCACGAACATGCCCCTGCATAACAATATTGACAAATCACAATACAACTGGGGATTCGCCGCTAGATGCTTACTTGTGGATCGGAAGGTCGTGGGTTCGGGTCCTGACGCAGCCGGGCTCTATTCAAAAATGACCTTGGCTCCTAGGTCGACCCAGCCTTAAGTGGGTACCAGGTGCGGTCAGGGGACGTCAAGGCGGCTGCGTGATGTTGGCCACATCATGCCTCAAGGGCCGATTGGTCTATAAAAAATAAGGCTAGCCTTAAAGCCGTGAAGAAAGGTCCTTTACGTTACTTTGTCTTTAAAAGTACAACAGCATGGTTATTGTAATTTCTATCACACTTTTAAGTTTTTCAATTGAAGCTCCCTCTTATAACAGCATATTACTAGGCTAGGGATTTCTGGTACTTTACCTTGCATATTCGCTGGATGACCGAAATAATATCTGGTGCAATCAATCAGCGAGTAACTTGTAAAAGTGCGTTCACCTGTCCTTTGTTAACAATGGCTGTGTCTAGTTGTTAGGAGCGGGGTTCGACCCTACCTTCTGAATGGAACCGCATGTGAAGCATGGGAGCTATGGTTAGAACCACATATAGTTGTAGAGTCTATACACTGACTCCATGACAATATATTTGTTTTATTTGCTGTTCACAACATAATATATATATATGTGTGTGTGTGTGTGTGTGTGTGTGTGTGTGTGTGTGTGTTATATGCGTTATGGTTTTAGACAAGGTGATATTCTCTCAACTTACTTTTTCATTCTCATGATGGATGATGTCATCAAGGCCTGTAGGGAGACGACAAAGAAGTACTCAGTGGAGTATTAGAAGATGATACTAATCTTTATATCAGAGCTGGCATTTAAAGACGATGTGGCATTGATGGCTAAAGAGGAACATCTTCAATCTAACTTACTTGTGTGGAAGGAAGAACTCGAGAAACTAAAACCGTGGTGATCTCAAAAGAGAAAACGAAACACTAGATCATGATGGGACTCTATGCACTGGAGCAGGTCAACCAGTTCAGATACTTTGGAGTTGTAATACACCGAAATAGAGGCATTAAGACAGACCTGGCTATTCGAAAAGCATCTGCCTGGAGACTTTTCCAGGCTGTAAACCGATATTTTTAGAGCAAAAGAGAAATCGGCAAGAGGTCTAAAATGACTGTTTACCGCTCTACCTATGTGTCAGTACTTACTTCCGGATGTGAGTCATGGGTAATGACAACAGCTTGCATAAGCCTGATTCTGGCTTCAGACATGAATTATATGAGAGAGGTAGTCCAAGTGACAGAAATGGACAAACTTCGGAGTCAGACAATATGTCAAGATCTTGAAACCCGGGCCTTGCAAATTGGAGGGGATCAGTCAAAGTTACAATGATTTGGACATTTGTGCAGAATGGGGGAAGAGGGGGGGGGGGGAATTCGCTACCATGGCAGGCATGGGATGCTGAGAACCTGGGAAACAGACCTTCAGGGCGACCCTGGGTCAACTGGAGGACAATACCCAACAGCCCCTAACTGACAGAGGACTGAAATGAAACAAAACCAGAAAGAAAACTGTTGACAGAGTTTCCCTTCCCCTTGTTTCCTCTGTATGGACGCTCTGGTGTGTTGATTATCCAACTTGAGGTTGATTTGACAGATGTATGTATTAGGTAGGTGAGATAAGTTGTACCCCACCAGGACATCACACAAGCGATAAACACCCGATGACACAAGGTGCCACCATGCAGATGAGGATCACCGTGGATGGGTCCTAGAAACCGCGTTCAGCCATTAGACCATATTTATGGCTATATTGCGGCCCCCTGACGCCCAGAGTACGAAAAATGGCATCTCACAAGGAGATGACTGGATTTTTAAAATAATTATTAAAAGAGATGTATGTGGTAGTAGAAACAAATTAGGCAAGTAACTGTATACTGTTAAATCGGTACTATATTCATACATACCTATGATTGCAGGCAACATCAGAAAGCATATTTGTGCTGACAAAATTACCCAACAGAAGTTCATTTCCACTAGTTATCCTTGATAGCAAAAATGTATCAAATGTTTGTTGAAAACAGTTTGCAAAGCTGAACAATTATTTATCTAAATAGTACTTCTGCATCATGGGAGACAATAACTTTCTCTGCTACGCCCAGTTATAATTTCCTAGCATCGCTACAACACGCCAACCTGGCAATACATTTAAGTAAGTAAATAAGTAAAGTACCGTTTTTAGCAAAGGGACGGCAGGCTTGTGGTACTAAACGCTTTTTTCCTTAAAGGCAAGAAAGGGAAATCGATAGATAAAACTAATGATATAAGGTGTATATATTAAAAAAAAAAAGAGGTCATGGAGTGGTGATTTTACAAAAGAATTCTTACAATTCATTGGATAGCCAAAAAGAGCATCCCAGATTTTGTGTTTGTGAAAGAAGCAGCGGCTCAAAGACAACTTATCACAACATCAGAACGAGATAGTCATCATTTTTGGGGTAATCTTACGAGAAGAATGAGACTGGAATATGTTGTGACCATAAGAAATATCTGTGGAAAGAGAGGTGAAGAAAGAACCTCGAAAATGATTCTTGATTGCCTTTTGTCATGGCATAGAGGGATGTCAACACACGAATTGATACACGCAGTTGCAGATTCCAGATTGTAGGAGAGGAATAATCGCTCACGCCAGTCGGCAAGGCACTTGATGGTGATACTTTAGCCACCAAATCTTAAAAAAGTATCAATAATTATAAACCTAATCACACGGGACTGCATGCTATTTCGGAACAGATATGTGGTGCCCACTTATATCTGGTCTATATGGTTATGCATTTAACAGGTGTCCGGATTTGTATCTGTTTGATTTTCATCCTTAAGGTGTTCATCAATCTGCAATCCCTGAAGCGGAAGCATCAATTTGTGTTTTTTTTTTTTAATAATTTGTAGAAATGTGGGCCAAATGTTCAATTTGCCATTAGGAGCCGATTAGTCTTTAAAAATATGAGTTTTGTCTATACAAATATGTGTCTGTCATCATTGACCTGATTGGTTTCGAGCCGGAAAGGAGTCCTTCGGTGTATACATTCAATCGGGGCCGTCGTAGTGTAGCGGCTAGCCTCAGTCTGCAGACAAGAAGGTCTTGAATTGGAAATTGACTTTGCCTGCCAGGTGTCAAATGGAAACCAGGAAATCGGCTTGCGGCCCATCTGTCAAACGGTTGTGCACACAAAATCCCAGATTCTAGAGCTAGACTGAAGTCCAGAAGTGGATTGACAACCAGAACTTTACACCGGAGTTTACAGCTGATGAATGCGAGAGGAAAAAAGATGGAGGGGGAGGAGAAAAAAAACTATATATAAATAGGATATAACAGGCAAGTGTGCTAGGGCGATGCCGCGGTTCCCAGAAAAGCCTGAACATATTGAAACTCTCGTCCTCATAAATAGTTGTTAACTCTCTTTAACATTTACAGCCCTCTTTTATTTTAATAATTTTCTGTTACTTTTATAATTTTTTTTTTCAGTTAGAAGTATAATAATTTCATTAACAAATTAGAAATAAGAAAACAATGTCCGTTTGAAATATCCCAATAACATTATAAAAAGTAAAACAAATCACACAAAATATGATGGAAAGCATTCTTCAGCCATTACCAGTAATCCTTTTCTGTTACCGTTATGGGCATTAATTGAAAGTATAAAAGTTTCATTAACGAACTAGATTCTCAAAAATAGTGCCCTTTCGAAGTGTCCTCAAGTGTTTAAAAATTACCAAAGAAATGTACTACAGTTATTTCCCACATTAACACAACATCACCTGCTTCACCAAATGACAGAAATTACCTGGGGGACAAGTGGACAAAATAAAGAGAAATCGTTTAAATAGAGGGCTGACTATTCACACAGACGCGGAGTAGGAGTAACGCGTCTACGCAGCTAAATGTTTGCTTTGTGACGTTTGTTAGGCTAAATGAACTCCGGTCCTTGAGTCTGTTCAGTAACTTGAACACGAAGCTTTTTACTTGAAATAGAATACAGATTCATAGAAAAATACACTTGGGCAAAGTAGGGAAAGACAGCACGGCAAAGGTTATGGCGTGAGTATGCTAAATCCGCGAGTTTCAATCTCTATAAAGTCTATGTTGGTCGTTTTATTAGCGGTAACAAGGTAATTATTACATTGTATTCAGCAAATAGAAAAGGGAAAGCATGGTTAGCCAGTAGCGATGAATTTCCGTTGTGAATGTGTGTGTGTGTGTGTGTGTGTGTGTGTGTGTGTGTGTGTGTATGTGAAAATGGATCCAGAATTAACGTCACTGCAGTGGGGAATTCCCATACTGCTCTGTGTGCCTTCTCAGTTGCCACTAAAGAACTGACATGATATTAGTTCCAGCTGCAAGCTGGTTAAAAGGCATCTTATGCCCCCTGGCCACCCCACTCCCACCCCAGCGTTGAATATCGACTAGAACTGCTAGTTACCCCACGCCGAATCAGCTACTCGAGGTATGGATGCCCTGTACGTTCTGCTGCACTATTAACTTGATCCCAGAGAGACTTCACTAAGTCCGATCAGATTTTCAAGCACAGAAAATCCATGAAATGCGTTTGATCTAAGTTTTGTCAAATATATTTATATATATATAGTTAGTTGCGTGGTTTTCCACGACGTTGCAAAACCAAATCCAGCATTTTTGGATTGTGTGTGTGTGTGTGTGTGGTAATTTTCTGCCCAGGAGTTTGCCACTGCTACTTAACAATCGGCTGTCAATATCACATTTGATTGTTATGAGATTCATTGCATTCTGTGCAGGCAAGGGAGTAAACCAAAAATACAACTAATCTACTCCACGTAAAATGCACAAGTCTCTGAAGAAAATTCCTATAATCAAGTCCCATGCTCGTGAAAGAGCAGCTTCCAACTGTTGCAGATTAGCTGCAGGGCCTTGCCTTTAGACTCTGCGACGAAGCTTGTCCCACAGATGTTCTGTATGGGAACATGGTCAGTAATAGGACAAGCCAATCAATGGTCATAATGTTCTCTTCTGCAGATATTACCGTGTAATGCGTGCGGTGTGCGCATGTGAGTTAACTAGCTGGAGAGTCTGCAAGTCTGAACAATTTGTGAACGCAGGAGCAATCAGTGCATCCAAAACCAAATCTCGATATGCCACAGCATTAACATTTGCACGGAAGACGTGAAGAGGCAGGTGATGGTGAAAACTGAAACCTCCCCAAATATAAATACTGCCACCTCCAAATTGGTTGTACTGACAAACACAACAGTCTGCAAAGCGTTCCCCATCACGTCGCTAAATTCGCATACGCCCACCAGCAAAGGATTTGCTAAACCCGGCCTCATCTGTGAATAGAGCAGCATGCCCTTACAGTCTAGTCTATCTGACATGTTGTGCTGTTCATTGCAGGTGCTACGAACGATGTGATTTTGGCACAACATAAGGCCATTTTACAGTAAGGCCTGTATCTCAGAGTCCACGTATAACTGTGCCCACGTCTACTCACTACTGATGTTGTTGTTCAACCTGCAGCAGGGTTGCCGAGTTTTGTACTTTGGCTCACATTTAGTACCGTTCGACCCTTTCTGAGCAAAACTACATTTTGCACCCCGCATATTTTGGTACTGTGCCAAAGAAGGGGCTTAATAATGTTGGTTTGGCTGCAATCGCGGACTAAAAATCTGGCAAGCTCGAAGATCGGAACGTCTCTAAAATGCAATGTCCAGCGCAAGGCGACTCCCTTTGTCTTGTGACTCGTTAAAATTTAATTCTGACCTTTTTCGTTGCGTTAGTCGTTCGTGACTTTTAACGCAATGTGGGTTCAAGCGACTGAGGAGAGCTAGAGGGATTGTCTGACTGATTACGTTGTTCATACCTTTCAATAGTTACTTTCGGTGTTAGAACAACATTTTCTCTAGAAGTTAAAACTGTGGTACATATAAATATCAGTATGTATCATCGCTAGGAGATATAAGATTTCAGGTCGCTGGAGGCGGACTTTTATATTTGTTAGCTGAAGTGCTTAGCACGTGGCCTGTGTTAACACGATGTTGATTGTTAATGTATTTTTATATGTGAAGCACGTTAGTTTTGTGTTCAGGAAAAAAAAAACAGATGTTTAGTGTGATGATTATAGTTCCAGTTGTTTTGATTCGGATTAGTACTTGTAGTTAGTTTGCCTAGTTTTACTGATACCGCTAATTAGACTTCATACTTATAATACTTCATAATTATGCTTCATAGACTATACAAAAGCATTTGACTGTGTGAAGCATGAAGAAGTAATCAAACTGTTAGAAAAATTAAACATTGATGGGAAAGATCTACGAATAATAAAGAATATGTATTGGCATCAAACAGCAGCTATAAGAATTAACAACTGTTTAGGTACATTTCAAAGCACAAAGAGGGACGTACGACAGGGATGTGTACTGTCACCTGATTTGTTTTCAATATACAGTGAATATATTATGAGATCTTTAATTGATATCCCCGGAATCGTGGTTGGTGGGCACAATGTAAAAAATTTACGTTATGCTGATGACACAGTCTTGATAGCAACAAGTCAGAAAGAATTACAGGAAATGATAGACATTGTGGTGTTAAAAAGTAGAAGAATGGGCCTCAGTTTGAATAATGGGAAGACAGAAGTAATGGTGGTATCAAAGAAACAAATTATTCCTAAATGTGTAATAAAAGTCAATGGTGTTATTTTAAGACAAGTACAGAAATTTAAGTATCTGGGCACATGGATAACATCAGATGGAAGATGCATAACTGAAATAAGAAACAGAATTGGACAGGCAAAAAACTGCATTTTATAAAATGAAAAACATCTTGTGCAATATTCCTTGTCATTGAGAGTTAGAAAAAGAATTCTTGCTTGCTACATACATCCAGTTTTAACATATGGATGTGAATCCTGGACAATCGGTAGGCAGGCCAAACAATTTTTAGAGGCCTCAGAGATGTGGTTTTACAGAAGAATGCTTAGAATACCTTGGACAGCCAAAAA